TAAATTAAGAATACGACTTTTGCCTGTAGTTAAATCATATTCTGAGGTGAATGCGTAACTCCCGTCAGGATATACTGCATCAGGATTTTTTCCAGCTACGTATTTGATATTTTATAAATTTAAAATTTGAACATGCTAAGTATTAAATTCTTTATTGAACACACATATACAGTATATACGCGCAACTGAAAAAAAAAACCTTTATCAATGATAAGAATTTTTGTGGGTCGAACTAAAACAATATGCATAGCAGCTACTATGGTTCTAAAAAAATAACAAAAATAAATAAGCCATAGCGAGTAAACCTTTTAAAAAGTTCATGATACATACTTTCCGACTTCTTTCCATTCACCCACTATAGAGGGATCTAACAGTTGAATTAAATATTAAAAATTTTAAAGTAAATAATTGTAATGATATAATTATCGTAAACGCGCGAATTTCTTTAAAAAAAAAAAAAAAAAAAAAAAAAAAACAATTACTTGGAAATGGAATTACCACGCCATATATTATGTCTAATGAAACAATTAAAAAATATAGAAATGTAATTTTCATTTTCAAAGATTGTCAGATTAATAAATTCTTTAAAGAAAAAAAACCGTCTCAACGACCGTATTTATTAGTTTTAATCATTTGGAAGGAAGGAATCCGTGTGGTTTAAATAATTATTTCTATATTTTTAGATTAACAATAATACTATCAAGTTTCTAGGTGCTCCCTCTCGTGGCACTATAGTAAAAAGAAAGAAAAGAGCAAAATGCGCATTTAAAGAGGGTGTTCATTTATAAAAAGCAAACATAAAGCTCCTGTAAGTTAGAACCAAGCTGCTGATACTATGCATTTAGTGAAAATATATGACCATTTAAAAAGTGAGCATTTAAGTGCCCGAGAGCATCCCACTTATGGGAAAAAAAAAAGGGAGATCTAATTGTATTGCGGGCCATACTATTAAATCGGAAGAGTGTCAGACATTGGGCGTTCTCAAGCACTTATCTCAATGAATTCAATAAAAAATCTGATTGGCTAGTTTGATCAAACAGACCAATCAGATTCGTTATTTAGTCCATTGAGGTAGGTGCTTGAGAACGCCATTATGATGTCAAACTTAGCCCGGATATTGATATGAAAAAAAAATATCTAAGAGTGGGAGTAAAAAGCGTTGCAAACTTAATTTACTTTACAAAAAATATTAATTACAAAATTATAATATATCGTAAAAAGTTATTACAGTAATTCAATAATAATTTTGTCATTGATAAATCGTATGATCAATTTAAGTTATAACTGTCTATAATAAAAATCGTAAGATCACTATCTATGATAAAAATCAAATTTATTTTAGGGAAAATGTTTTTCGTGCACCCGCACAATAATGCATCCCCCCAGATCGCCGGATATTTTTGACATATAACCGCAGGATCTCGGAATTTTTTTACGATATACGTAAATCTTGTGCCCCCAAATTTTTTTATTTTGAGTTCTTATCTTTATATCCCGCATATCTGTTGTTTTTATTTAGCAAAAGCTACCTCACAACGATCAAAGAGCTTCTAACTGATATTTTTCACGCCTAACGTTAATAAAAGATCTTTATTTAACTTAACATTATTACCTTTAACTTACTACCACTACCTTTAACTTACTACCCTTTAACACTCTTTAACACTCTTTAACCTGGTAAACTTTGCTAACTTACTGCCACTACCTTTAATTTACTACCTTTGACTTCCT